TGGGAAGAAAGCGGGGGGCTGTTCACCTTCCCGCCCACCCCCCTACTCTTGGGAATATTGTTGGGATGAACGAGGGCCTCTCTCTACTCTTGGGAATATTGTTGGGATGAACGAGGGCCTCTCCTGCCCCATTTCGTGTGCTTCTAGAGGGAGTTGCAGAGCGGGTGTGGGTTGCAGCTGTTCACTGGACCTGAGCGGCCAGGGGGAGGTATTAAAAAGAGCAACGTGGCATTCCCGTGGTAAATTTGTGAAAGTTTTTAGTGTGAGAATAGCGCCATGGCGCTAACCTACTTCTTTCGTATATTAGGATTTGATTAGCCCTTGATGTCCAGTGAGGCTGGTGGCGTAGGACAGTCCTCGCAGCCTTTGTTTAATATTGTTAACAGTAGTAGTATCTAAGATAAGATACAAGAATATATCATTAATGCCTCCCTTACAGCTCCCTCCTGTATGGAGCACCCTTTGTCACATGAAGGAAAATTTCTGCTCTTTTTTTTTTTTTTTTTTTTTTTAGGCCGCACTTTTTTTTTTTTTTTTTTTGTTTAGGCAGCACATGCAGTTTTCCTCGACAGTAACTTCAGGCAGCTCAACATGCCATATTGAGACCAAACTATGGCAGGATATAAACTTCCTGTGAAAGTAGTATTCTGTAGTGCAGTACTATCTACTAGAAATGTCTTGAGCTGGAGGTAGAAGCTTTTCTGTGGTATATATTTTGGGGGTTTGGTTTTCCTAACTCTTTCTTTGCCATGCTTCTTCATGTAGGCTAGTTTGGAGGATTATGAAGAAACAGTAAAGAAGGCTAAAGAGGCATGGAAGGTCTGGGCTGATGTAAGTTAACAGAGACTTATCTTTTATAACATAGCTCTGGCAGGTAAAGGCCGTTAAATTGCCCTGTCAGGTGGAGGTGTAAAAACACGTTCATGTTGTGTATGTTGCATTAAAGCAAAAATCTGCAAAGAGGACCTCAAGAAACAAATCCAGACAACTTGTACATATTACCATAGAGGTGTAAAGATGAGGACACTGACTCGTGGCAAATGTTTTTTTCGAAAAGCCTGGCAGATTTACCCAGGTTTGTGCCATTGCTAACAGGTCTGCTGAAGTTCAGAAACCTTATAGCGAGCAATTATCCCTGTTGGGTGTGTTTAACTTCATGTTGCTGCATGGTTTCTTGTGCGAGAACTGCAGAATATTTGGATACCTAACTTGTGGTGATAATCTTGCTTTTGTGGGCTGAGGAAGACTGCTGGTTTTGAGTGTGCTTTTTTTGTTCACCAGCTGTCCTGGTATTTCACAAAACAGCTACATTATTCCAAAACTTTAGTGTTATGTTGCTGTGTCAGACAGTAGCTAAGCTATTTTTCTGTAGCAAGCTGTAGTTCTCAGTGTCCCTATACAAACTATGTCCAGCCAGCATCCACTTTCTTGCTGGCCAAGCCAGGCTTGGTTTTTATAACTACCTGCCACTTCTTTGATACAAACTGAAACCTGAATTTTGTAAGCTATTGGGCATTCTGTATTTTATCCAGCAAAGTAGTTTGCCTTGCCTGAAGAGAACAAAAGTTTAGGACAAACACAGCAACTTCCTCAGGGTATGTTAGTATGTGTTCTTTTGTTACAATTTGTGAATACAATGTTGGTGAGTATATGCCAGCTCCTAATGTGTTAGCAGCCATTGTCATACTTAGCATCACATTTTCAAACTTTTTGTTTCAGTATACTTCAAAAGCTCAGAAACCAGTTAAGTGTGCTTTTGTAAAAAATGCTTGTTTCTTGAGGTGCAGCTGATTGTTTGGGGGCATTGTGGGTGGTGTAGCAGAGCTAATAATCTGAATGTTTCTGGCAATACTCAGTAGAACTGAAGTTTTGAACAGACAAATGTGTGCAGTGTTGTCAGTCTCTGAGGCAGGAAACAGTTTCTTGTAGTGTGCATGATAAAAATGAGTGAGTAATGATGTCTTGGGAAGATAGGGGAAAAAGCACAGCAATTGGTGATTCCTTACTGCAGCGGTAGAAAATGAACAGCAGAATTCACAGATGCTTGGTCTCAAATAGATTCATCTTTTTTCTTTTGTTTTGACTAGATTCCTGCACCTAAGCGTGGAGAAATAGTGCGACAGATTGGTGATGCCCTGAGACAAAAAATCAAAGTTCTAGGAAGCTTGGTAAGGTGTTTTAAGAAGCCCTTTAACTTTGTGGGGCAGGGGAAAGGTGTGTGTCAAAACTGGTTTTCTTGGTTTTTAAGGTACTGCTCTGCAATACTAACCTTGATAATTGTTAAAATACTGTTAGTTCTGTTAGCTTGCCTAAAAAAAATTAATTAAAACAAAGGAAAAGAAAAAAACCTGTAAGAGTGCATTCTGGCATTCTGTGTTGAAAATTATAATCTATAACAGGAAAAGAAAGTGTAATTAATTCTGAGCCTGTGCTCTGGCTGGGAGGAGCATTACAACTGTTGTCCTGCTGTTTTCCCACTTGACTGTCTGATACTAAAAGCGTCCTGAAAAAGACCTTCCTCTAATACAGAGCTTTTAACCTTGAGCTCTTTCTGGTGGTCTGCAGGATTTTGTGAACTGACATGTGGAGGTATAAGGCTTCAGAAGGTGAGACGGTCTTGATGAGATCTTCTTGCAGTGCTGTGCAGGACATAAAGGTTGAAGGACTGCTCCTTTAAAATACTTGTTAGTTGTTAGGGAAGAAAAGGACTTGTCACTTCCCTTTGACAGGGCTTGCCTATATGTGCTGCTATTCAGAAACAGCTGTTGGTGAATAACTCCATGTGTAGTCAAGCCCATATTGTTAACCTACAAAACTTTGTTCTGCTGATTCCCTTGATGTTGTCTCCTCCGCAGAGTTTCTGTGGTCAATTAGAGTGCTAATGTACTTTTTGTATTCAAAAACAGTACAGCTTCCCTGGTGAGTGTGGACAGATGGAAGTTTGCTGTATGTTCCTTGGATACAACTTCTTGCTTATTGCCAGAGCATTTTTCTCGTTTTTCCAAGCAGATAATAAGTCTGTTCCGCTCTTCCAGGATAGAGGGGTGAACTTCAGGGTGAAAGCTGTGCAGTAGGTATCCAGGTTTTAGGACTTTTCCTGGCTTCAGGATATGTATAGCAACTCACCTTTTCATATGCTGTTGGAAATTTCCAGCCTCGCTTCACAGTGTCCTTGCCAAGTGTCCAGATGTATCTCTACTGCGCTTACAGACTCATCACTGTGTTTCTTAGCAATTATGTCTGATGGCCCTCCACTTCTGGTCACAGATAGGGGCTGTTCCTTCTGTCTCGAGGTGACCACAGGCGTCACAGACATACCCAGAAATACAGTTAGTCACCTTTATTTTAACCTTTGCATGGGAAATAAAATCTTGTGGCAATCCTTCGAACCTGATTCCTCCCTTAACAGCTTTTTCAAAGTATAATCATCATTCTAAGGTGGTAGGTGATATCTGCATGAAAGTCGCACCTAGGTATCGGAGCATGTCTGTAAAATTAAGTGGGTGGGGGTAAATGGGTGAATTCTCAGTTCCTGTTAGTGAATTTTCTCACTTTTAGAGGAAAATGTCTTCAAATACCAGCTTATTCTCACTGATAATCTATGTCTCCTGTGTACATCTAACATGCTTTTAACAGAAGAACATAGTTTAGGATTGACTTCAGCTTAAAAAAATAAGATCCTAAACTTCCCAGGTTACTAAAATACTAAAGATGTGTAGACATTTTCAGCAGTGTCTGAAAATGGAATGTCTCAAACTCCCTTTGAGATGTTATAAAATGAGCAGTTTGCTTATGAAAAACGTAAATGACCGTTTTCTTTTGCTGGAGCAGAGTAATCCCTCTTTTCCAATTTATTCCACTCCTGGTCCACAATGTATGCAAACATCCTGATGGAAATTCAGTGTTCTGTTGATCTATGAACCTCATTACTAGTTGGATATTCCTTTCAGTAGATTATTTTTAATTCCTTATGTTCACTAATTTCCTCTTCTGATTTTCTGCTATTATATGGGAATGTGACTCCTGTCTAGTTGTCTATTGTGTTCATTCTTTAAGCTGTGAATAACTTCAGAAGAGGTGAATTTCTTCTAATTAAAAAAACGTATTGAGTCTTACTTGGTGTACAGATATACCTGACATTGGTGGGAGACAAAATGTGTTGGGGACACAAGGGAATTTTTTAAAAAGAATTTTGTCTTGCTCTTAATTTTTTCAGGTCTCTTTGGAAATGGGAAAGATTTTTGTCGAGGGTGTTGGGGAAGTGCAGGAGTATGTTGATGTCTGTGACTATGCTGTTGGTTTGTCCCGAATGATTGGTGGACCTATTTTGCCTTCAGAAAGTAAGTATGTGTGTATGTATGGTTTTGTTTTGGGTTTTTTTGTACAAATGAAGGGATGGATATGTGTCTTAAATATACAGTGATGTAGTGCAGCAAAATCTCTGTACTGTGAGTTATTTAGGGAGCATGTTGTCTAGGCATGGGTGTGCTGGTAGGCAGTGGTGCCTAGCCTGTGGCACGTAGCAAGAGAGGCAATAGGTTCTCTCTCCACTCTTTGAAGCATTAGATTCTTTCACTTCTTTGTTAATGAAGGTGCTAGAGGAAAGTATGTAAGAAGTTCAGCAGTGTACTTAGAAATGAGACACCTCTGTTTCAGTTATGGATTAGCAAACAACCACCATTCTGTTAACTGAATAGTTAAAATAGTAAGACTTCATGCTATCATGTTACTAGTTTTTCCACAACCTAGCTATCCTTGTTCCAGTAAGCTGCAGAGCACATATAACACAGCTCTCCACCAGCTAATGCTCTGATGGACAGAGAAGTGATGCTAGGCCTCTTGCTCACATGGTTTCCTTTTTAAAAAAAACATTAAATGGATGCAAATTGCGTTACCTTGTGTCTTTGCCTTCAGGACCCGGCCATGCCCTTATAGAGCAGTGGAATCCTGTGGGGTTAGTAGGAATCATCACGGCCTTTAACTTCCCTGTAGCGGTTTATGGGTGGAACAGTGCAATTGCAATGATCTGTGGAAACGCTTGCCTCTGGTAAGATGTAGCTCTCCAACATGCTAACAGTATTTTAGAATTAGAGAGCTATTATCTCAGATATGAAATTGTTATCAAATGTCTGGTGTTTCTGTATATTTGATTCTATCTCCTGCAGGCTTAATTTCTGTTTATTTTTAGGTTCACTTGTAGTCAAAGAGCTTTGTTTTATTTTGTGGTAACCTCTTTTATGAGGTATTGAGATTCAGACCTGCCCGGGACTTAGCCAGATGGCCTGTTAATAAAGAGCCCAGGTTGAGGTCTTGCAGCAGTGGTAGCAAACAGTTAATATTTTCAGAACTGGTGCAGCTAAAATAAGAATCTAAATAATTAGCTTTACTTCCCCTCCCTGCTCCTGCTTTGCTTTCATCTACCTGCTTCACTCTAATGTCTGGCATAGCTCTTGTTGATGTGGATTTCAGTAGAAGCTCTGAATGCTCAGCTGTGGAAAGAAATGCCGGAGTTCCTGTCTTAACACGTACCTGAAAACCAGCCTAACCAAAGTGTGCTGTATTTGAGATACCATAAAAATTGGATTTTTGAATTATTTCTTATTCTTGGGGAATTGAAAAGAAAATAATGTGATTCTTTTTCTTCTTTTTAGGAAGGGTGCTCCTACAACATCCCTCATTAGCGTTGCTGTTACAAAGTGAGTTCTGGTGTCATTGCTTTCTGTTTTGCTTTTTAAACAACTTTTCTGTTTGAGGTAGTGCTTAGTGGTCAGAAGAACTGCTTTCCCCTTGTAGTAACAGTACATATAGGATGTTACATGTACTGTTAGCCATTTTTTTCTGGGACCAGGGCTGTGCTTCTGCTGAAGTAGGGCTAGCTGTGTGGCTTGCTTCATGGTAGAAGATGAATCGCTCATGAAATTCGGCTTCCCTTAATCACGCACTCATGTTTCAGAATCACCCCTTTTTTTGGAAGTCTCAGCCCAACATCAGCACCCAGTTTCTTAGAAAATTCTTCTGGCTGTCTGTGTAGGCCTATATGCTGAAGGTGCCTTCGCACAATCTTTATTATCCAAACTTACTGGCACCTTAGAATGTGTTTCCAGGGTTCAAAACTCATTCTTGATAAAAAGAACTATTACTCCAAAGAATAAATGTCATAGTGATACTTACTATATGTTTATTGTTACTTTGTTTACTACATTCGCATTTTAAATACTTCTTTGTTCTGTGTTACAAATAACATTTATTTTTAAATGCTAAATATAAATAGGCCCCTTTAAAATAACTAATTAGTAAGTCTTGTAGCTTTAATATTAACTCCTGAAAACAATGGCCCCGAACTACTTCTGAGTATTTTGTGTAACTCCATGAAGTTATATAAATGTCTCTTTCTAATGGTGAAAGACTGTATGGCCAAGGTTTTTACACACTGATCTAATGCTTCTCTGTGCCAGTTGTGTGGATGTGTAATGAATATATCTTAGAGTCTTACTTCTGTGTGAGCTATGATTGTAACACGAAATTCCTGGATGAGAGAGGTGTGTTATGTTTTGTACAAACTGCAGGTCAATTAACTGCAAGACTGCTGCTTTTTAATAGCCTGTAACTTCTTCATGTGCATGGTCAGACAGTTTTAATGGTTCATTCCCTATTATATGCACCTGTTGATTCTAGGATAATTGCCAAAGTCTTGGAGGATAACAAAGTGCCTGGAGCGATCTGTTCTCTCGTTTGTGGTGGAGCAGACATCGGGTAGGTAACGTCTTGTGTTTTGTGAAGATGTGTAGAGGGTAAAGAATATTCTTTGAGGTACTTCTCGTAAAGTTACTCTGATCTGCAGGAGTTACCAGTACATGCACGCACCTGTTGCCATAATTTTTATCAACTGGTCTGAAACTCTGGCCTTGCTGTAAACATAATACATATTTCTACTTCCTGCTATCAAAGATAGCAAGGATAGCAAAGATATCAAAGATCAGCTGCTAACAAATAACTTATCAGATATTTAATGAGGAGACATGCCTAAGTTTATATTCTACTTCTGCATATGTTTACACCCAAAGAATACAGCTAATATTAAATGCCACTCATCATGTTCTTAAGAGTTTTCAATTTCTAGCCCAGTGGCCTTTTGGACCACTTGTGGAGGAGAATATTTTCCCATTTTCCACGCTCACGTAGGACTCTGCACTTGCTCATAGATGCATACCTGTGCTTGGAAGCTGTACAAATCAAATTGTTTTGTTTGATTATTACAACATGGAAATTCCCAGTACAGGTGTATATTCAGATGTATCTTTTGAGCATTTCAAGAGAAGACAAAACAGATCGTAAGCATTAAAAAAAGTCATAGGTATGTGTATTTTCTTAGGGAACATAACAGTTGGAGCTGATCTCACTATGTACTTTAGATTGCATTTCAAAATTAGTACAGGTGATGCTCTTACGGTCTGAAAAGGGGCAGGGAAACAGCCTTGTCCCTCTTTTCTGACTAAGAAGCAGCTTTCCTGCCATCTGCTCAGTTACTTACGGGATGTTTTCAAAGAAGTGGCTCTGACTTTGAAAGAACTCTGTGGTTGAAGTTGGTTTTTGTGGAAGGTTCAAGCAGCTTTTCCAGCTATCTCCTCTTCCGTTGAACATGGTGGTATGTCTCTTGTGCAGGACAGCAATGGCGAGAGATGAGAGAATGGACCTGTTGTCCTTCACTGGCAGCACGAAAGTGGGCAAGCAGGTAGCGCTCATGGTTCAGGAGAGATTTGGTGAGTGTGTTGGGTCTCCTCCAATTCAATTCTCTCCATGGTTGGGAAAAGCAGGGGAGCCCCATAGGATTTTTTAAAATAACAGCTTGTTTCATTTACCTTTTTTTTTAACTTGGTGGAAATAGGATGTTGAAGCTGCTCAGAGCTAGAACTGCATTTTTCAGTTGGTTCTGTCACAGCTCAGCGTTTTTTCCAGGGTATTCACAAATCCATGTCCCTACAGTTAATTCTGAGGGGGGTGTCCATGAATATAATTGTATGGAGATTGTCAAGATGAACAGCCAGGACATACAGTCTTTTGGCAGTGTGTTCACGGAGAAATGCCTCCTCGCCTTTTACTCCTTATAAATACAGGAGAAAAAATATCATTTTTGAGGTGCTGTTTTTGTTGCAAACATTTAAAAGTGTACAGGCATGAGTCTGGGATCCAGCTGCTGGATTCTAACTTTTTAGTTTTAAACAGAAAACCTTGTGAACAGGAATTTCCCAATTTGTACATTTGAAGTTCATATGAGAATTTCCCAATTTGTACATTTGAAGTTCATATGAGGGTAAAAAAAAAAAAAAAAAAAAAAATCAGAACAGATTGCAAAGGTTCATCCAGAAGTAGATGGTGATTCCTTCTCTCAGATTTGAGATAAAACAGTTGCCAGAGAAACAAATAAACCTGGTTAAATTTGATGTATGCATTTTGATCTCTGTAGCACCTCCTCCTCTTCTTTGTCTGCATCATACTATTTATGCTGCAACTTTTTCTGTTTTCATCTTTTGCTTTCCAGTGCTGTTTTTGCCTATTTTTTTAAGCTGCTTTCTGCCCTAACTGCTCTCCAGGTATCTTTCTTCACAATACGTGACAGATGTAGTATTTGGTGTAATTTTCTGCTTTGGTTAGAGCGATAAGTTGACAGAGATGCCTAAAACTCTTTGTCTCTCCAGAAAAATATGCTTAATGAAACCTAGCTCTAGTTAGAGGTGAGCTCACTGAATGAGGTGCAGTGAATACATGTGTGTGTGACGTAACTTGTTTTGTGTGTTTTTATTAGGTCGAAGTCTGCTGGAACTGGGAGGAAACAATGCCATTATTGGTAATACGCACTGTAGAAATTTAGTCCTAGAGATGATATCTGGGAGTTAGTATACAAATGTTTGTAGCACATTGTCCCTTCTTCTTCCAGCCCCCTCCGTCCCCCTTCCGGGTTTTAAAAAGTATGTAGTAGAATGTTGGGTTTTTTATGTCTTCAGTATTGTGGAGGGGTAGTGTTTTAAATAAAAAATGAAAGTTCAAGCTCTTACATATATTCACTATTGAAGTGAAGAAGGGAATGGGAGAAGCAGGAAGCTTCAGTAGTGGGATGCGGACAATGCTGAATGTTTGGGGGTTTTTTTAGGGTAGTTCTAATCTCGTGAACGCCACAATTTTGGCATTTTAGAATATAAGTACATATATATACAGTGCAAGTCACTTACGATACTTGAAAGCAAAGCATGCAAGTATGTATTTCAGTAGCACATTTTACAGGTTTAAGTAGCTTAGGGTATGATCTAGTTCCCAGATAAACATAAGTACTGTGAAGCTGAGCAATGCGGCAGAAGAAAATATAAGCTAGATAAATACCTAAATTGCTGTCCCGTTGTGTTGTAGCCTTGTTTCACCTTTCTCATGTTATGAACAAATTGCCTATCTATTTAGAATAGACTATTAAGAATTTAGAAGTAAAGAATATTTAGAATTTAGAATATTAAGCTCTTTTGAAAACCACGTTTGAGCAGGTCTTTCTTTTTTGCTGTGCTGCTTTGCAGCCAGTAGTGTGAACTTGCTTTATACTTAGAAAATTGTTTCTGTTTTCATATGAAAGTCCTGTTTTTTCTGGAATTGGCTTAGAATGATGGCATAAACATTGTTTGGTTGGACTTTGTCCCAGATTTATCCAAAAATAATAATTTTGGATACTTAGAGAATTCTGTGGGGCTGGTTAAGCTGAGTGATATTTTGGGGATCCTTTCGAGGCTTATGCATACTAGCTTTGCTTTAAACATCCCAATGTCTTCTAGCCAGATCAATTTGTTCAGCTCATTTATATTTTACATTATTGTGTATCTGTGTTTTAGCTACTTACTTTGCATGCCATCTGGATACACATTGTTCCTTTATGCTGCTACATCTCAGTGAGAGAAGGACGTGGGGATGAAATGGCAAGGAATTGCTTGTAGCTTCTTGAATTAAAATGAAGCTGAGGTTCTTTGCAGGATTTATTGCAAAAGGCTCTCTTCAGTTGTTCAGATCTACATTTATGTGCAATTACATGTGTCTAATTCCAGGTGTAAAAGTAATAGGAGTTTTGAGGTGTTTCTTTGTATCTTAGTGTGCTATGCTAGTGCAACTATTCCTAATGCTTCTTTATCACCCTGTCAGTTTATTATATTGTTTAGTGTCTTAAGTCTTGGGAACTGCCTGTTTACTTCAGTAACATGCTGATGTTTTAATTTTTGTTAAGTGTTTGAAGATGCAGATCTGAACCTAGTCATCCCATCTGCTTTATTTGCCGCTGTGGGAACAGCGGGTCAGAGGTGCACAACTGCTAGAAGGCTGGTGAGTAAATATGTATTGTCTGGTTTGGGTAGCTCTGATTTTAAACTTAATTCCAAATTAGCTTGGAAAATGCCCAACAATTCCTAATATTATGGAAAGCAACAAATAATCTTTGAAACACATTTTTACTTTGTCAAAAGTCAGTATGATGGGAAAATAAGATGGTAGTTTGTCATTCCACTGCAGTTCTAGCTCTAAAGATTTTCTTCATATGTGTTTCTAAATATACCTGGTGCTAAAACTCAGGAAAAGAAAACTTACCATACTTCCTATATTTCTCTCTGTTTTCATTGCCTGAGATTCTTTGCTTGTGTCTGCTACAAATTTTGGTGCAGGGTTTAGATTTTGACAAAGCAAGTGTGTGTGTGTTGCTTACTTTATTATTCATTTTTAACCAATCATTTTCAGCAAGTTTAAAGGTGTTATAATGTCAGCCTGTGTCTGTATAGTCTTTTCAGACTTGGGTTGATTGGGTAAATATTCGTCACAATTGATGTGGCTTAACTTTGGGTGTATAGGAAGGGCAGTGATTCCTCAAATTATAGCAATAAAAATGACTTGAGTATTTGTCCTGAATAACTTAACTGAAGAGTTTACAGAACACATTGATACCATTGATCTGAGATGGGGTAAAATTAAAAGTTTTTTGTTTCTTTGCTTCTTTAGGACGAGAGGAAATGGGCTTAAGCTGCGCCAGGGGAAGTTTAGGTTGGAAATTAGGAAAAATTTCTTTACGGAAAGGGTGGTCAAGAATTGGAACAGGCTGCCCAGAGAGGTGGTGGAGTCACCATCCCTGGAAGCACTCAAAAAACGGGTAGATGTGGCACTTTGGGACATGGTTTAGTCTAGTCTACCCTTGATTGGCTTAGAGTAGACTTGGTAGTGTAGGTTAATGGTTGGACTGGATGATCTTAAAGGTCTTTTCCAACCTAAACGATTCTATGATTCTATGATTCTTTTAAATCTTCGTGGTGAAGATTTTTAAGTCTTCGTTTCATGGTGTTAGTGCTGTTTCGAGGCCTTGCTCATGTGTTTATTTTTAACTTTGGGATTTGCTGAATACGAGCAACACTATCTCCACACTTCATTCAGCCCTCTTCAAAGTGCGGTAGTACTTCAGGAATAGATAACATAGGCTGAGCTGTCTTACAAACTTCTTACCACGTTTTGTTTAGTTCCTCCATGAAAGCGTCCATGATGAGGTGGTGGCAAAGCTCGCTAAGGCCTATGCCCAGGTCCGCATCGGGGATCCATGGGATTGTAAGTAGCTGTTTCCAACTCATGGGTTTAGGAGGGAAGTTTCTGTTTGTTTCTTTCTGTTTAAATTCCAAAGAGATTATAGATCAAAGCTATCTAATTTTAGCAGTTTACAAAGGGTTAGCTGGTTTCATTTAGAATACAAACTCTGAAAGAGAGATGAAGAATCCAGCTAATACTGCTCATCTTGGACAGATCAAATAATTAATCTCAAAATGTCATGGTAAGAATATTTGCAAACATATACAGTTTTGCTGAAAGTATGTCTTTGGATCTTTTTGTTTTTAGCTGACACTCTCTATGGGCCTCTTCATACAAAAGAAGCAGTGAAAATGTTCCTTGATGCAGTAGAACAAGCAAAACAACAGGGTGGCTCTGTGGTCTATGGTGGAAAGGTGATTTATTTGTATTCTCCCTGCTACTTTTAGCGCTCTAGGAAAACAGTACAGTAACGTGGTGGCTTAGGCCAAGATTGTGCCTCAGTTTGTCCTGTCTGCCATTACAGGATGTTAAGTTAGTCCAAGAACATTTGAATTGCAATCTTTTATTTAGGGTAAAGATGGGTCTACTTAGAAATTACCTTCTTCTCCAAGAAATGGCTAAGAGCTTTTGGCTGTTCCTTGCACTACTCCCTAGTTGCAGGTGATGGTGAAAATACAAACAGCGATGAAAATGGTGAATATCAAGCACATAACAAAGAAAAATTGCTGTTCTCTCCCTGGATTCACAATATCAAACTTCAGGAAATACTGAAGATTCAGGAGAGCCACTTGGTACATCTTCATCATATGGGATGTTTAATTCTCATGGATTTAGCATTCTGGCAATTCTTGTCTTTCACTGGCTCCTTCTTTATTCCTAATACCTTTATAGTTCTAATCAGCTTAAAAGTAAGAGAAAGGAAGTGGGTTTTTGTCAACTGCTAGATTTTGAGATTCGATTATGTTTCTGTATTTTAAATACTTAAATGAGCAAAATCTAAGTTATCTACTAGGGTGACCTGACCTTCTATTTCTGATTGCTAGGCACAACTATGGTAACCAGACCATGAATGATTTCCTTCCTACACTAGTAGCAAGCAGGATGCTGGGTTTAAGTTACTCAGTTGTTTCTTTTTATGTGTTTTGAAGGTTATAAATCGCCCTGGAAACTATGTTGAACCAACCATTGTGACTGGCCTTCCTCATAATGCACCCATTGTGCACACTGAGACATTTGCCCCCATACTGTATGTGCTGAAATTTAAGGTAAAATTACAATGGGGAAATAGTCAGGTGTCAAGGATGCTAACAGAAGAGTCAGGAGAGAGATTTCAGCTATATGTCATGTTCATGTAATTGTCCTGGCACTTGAAGAAATGCTAACTGTTGTTCTGCACTGTCGGATATCCACTGTAATAGCTTACCTCACTGTGTAGCTACATTTATGCATTTTCTGTGAAGAGCACTGGAGTTGAGATGAGAGTCTGTACAGGAATAGATTTTTGTTGTTCATGTCAACCTGCTTAGAAGCAGGTTGTGTGTTTTGTGGAGTGGTGGAGGTATCCTAACCCTGACTTGGTGCATGTGTATTTGCTGAGTAGCATTCAGTATATTTGTATTATGGCTGTGGAATGTTGGGATTTCTCTCACAGTGCTTCTTTGTAACTGCTTTGCTTTGAATGGTCATGGTTTAATGTTGACATGTGCTCCTTTTAGGAGGAAGAGGAAGTTTTTGCCTGGAATAATGAAGTAAAACAAGGTCTTTCCAGCAGTATCTTTACCAAGGATTTGGGAAGGATTTTCCGCTGGCTTGGGTATGAGTTAAATTATTTTTCTACCTTCCTGAAACATAAGATCATGGTCTTTCATGTGTTTTGTAAACCTATGCTAGATTTAGATGCCAGTTGAGCATTTTATAGCCCTCACTTTAGGGAAGGAGCCTTTCCTGATCCTGAGGAGTAATTGTGTCTTATCTTTCTTTGTAGGCCAAAGGGGTCTGACTGTGGCATTGTGAATGTCAACATCCCAACCAGTGGGGCTGAGATTGGAGGTGCTTTTGGTATGTTATTTATGCTTTTTTCCTATGCTTTAAATGATGAAATCCTCTAGCATCAGGTCTAGAGACTTGTATTACTCCTCAGGCTTCATTTTTTTTTTAAAGCTGAGAGGATTTTTTTTTTTTCATAATGACTCTGGAAGAGAATAAAGCATCACCTCTGTAAAACTAGTATAATTTAGGTCTCCTCATCTTATTTTTCAAGGTTTTAATCAGTCCATTTAAGTGACTAAATGTGAAGAAATCAATGAAGTTAATTTTGAATTATACTGCTTCAGCAGAAAACAGAAATTGACTAGAGGCAGTTGGATTTCAGCTTTCAAAAATATCTGTATTTGGTTTCTAAATCCTCCACGTATCATTTCCCTCCACTCCCATCAAGGGAATATAACTCAGCAATATGTTCTGACTGTGTTTAGAGATGTGGCTGAGTGGAAAACTGTTTAAAACAGTTTTAATTGAAACAGTCTTGAGCATTTTTGTTGTGTATGTTTGCATGTGTACATAAAAACTACAGCCTAAAGTATTTTTGTGAGAAAGTCTTTCAATACATTTTTTTCTTTCTCTTTTTTGTATATACTGAAGGAAATGAGGGGAGGGAAGAAGAAATATTTACCTTACCATGTAAACAGTGTAAGAACCAGCACATGGTTGTACTCTTTGTCTCGTGTTAAAACAAAGTATTTTTAAAACAAGGTCCTCTGGTGCCAGCATGATGAGACTTTGAACTCCAGGCAGATGTTTTTTGGATCAAGCATGAGGAGAGAGCTAGCTGTGTGAGTTGTATGTGGTGGTGTTCTGGTAATTACTTAGATACAGAACAAGGGCAAAGGAATAGTTTTTCCCATGAGTTTTTATGAAATGTCTCACCTCCTGGAGTTAGTCCAGATTTCTATGCTGAAAAAAAATTCAAGTTTTCATTTATAACCCTTTTCCTACAGGTGGTGAAAAGCACACTGGTGGGGGAAGAGAATCCGGAAGTGATTCATGGAAACTTTATATGAGACGGTCTACTTGGTAAGACAGTCTTTTTAAATTCTAGATAAACATAAATTACAGGTAAACTTGCAAATGTTCAAAGTGTATAAATCCTTGCCTACAGGAGGTTATCTTCACTAAATAACGAGATAACCATGTATGAGTGTAATTGCCTTTTCTTCAGGCAAACATTTACGTCTGTGTTCCTAGTAGAAGATGATTTGGAGGGTCTAGGTACAGACCTTTCTTTACTCACTGTTCCTCAAAAGGGAAAAAAGAAAATCTGCTTTTTTCACCTCTTGCCTGATTTTAAACTTGGCTAAAAATTAAATTATTGAAAGTTGTCAGGAAGTAACATGAAGTAGCAACCACAGCAAGAGGGCTGCTATTGCCAGTGGTGGGTGATTTAGCTACATGTTGGGTATCTATCCATAAATCTCCTGACAGGCTGTAGTGGTTAATGTTTCCCACACTCTGCTGGCCTCCCTAGTCTTTACGTGTGCTAACTGTGGCTTCCATGCAAAGGTTTATGAATGTGAGAAATCCCATCTTGATTTTTCTGTATGGACGTTCTCCTAGTAAGAGATTAAATAGAGAATGATACTTTGCTTTCTCCTTGATCTGTCAAGGAAGAGATAATGGGGAATATGGTCTTCCCCCGTGCATAGTTACTATATTGAAAACTGGAGTAAAGTCAGTTCATAACTTTAATTGGACAAACTGCTTACAGAAGTCTTTTGTATATGTGTGACAAATCGGAAGCCTTGTACGTAGGAAATGGACTGCATAATCTGTCTTGGTGATCAAGTCTGGTCTCTAAATACTTGTTTCTCTTCCAGTACAATCAACTACAGCAAGGATTTACCTTTGGCTCAAGGAATCAAGTTTCAGTAACAGCCTTGTGAATGGCCATGCCACGAACTCTCCTAGCATTTCAGAACCAAGCACCTTCTAAGACTTCTTGTGAAGAAAATTAATTATCTGAAACTTACCTGCAGCAATGCTACTAATTATGTCAAAAAATCAGATAGTCTTAAAAATGCTTCACTTTCAATGTATGAAATTTCTACTTCAGTCTTCAAATGAAAATTATGTGGTCTTTGGGAAGAAGGGAGGGTGACTGAAACTAACAAACTTGGATTCAGGTAGCTTGGATAATCTTCTGTTGCCTTGTCGCTATGTTTCAGTATCAACACTGTCTGTATCCCCTGCCTCCCCACCATTCACTGATATTTCTAGCTAGTATGTCTATGCTTCAAACTATGTGCTGAGTTTCCTACAGAGGCCTGGTGCTATGGGGGGTGGGCAGTACAGGGCTATTTTTCAATGCATAAATAAAGGTTCATTTTGTGAGATACCTTGGGCTTCTGTGGGTTTTTTGTTTGTTGTTTTCGAGCGGGAACATTCAACTGACTGTCCATTTTCACACACGGAGCTGCTAGCTGGGAGAAGTATCACTGGGCTAAACGGATGGCTTTAGTTTTCCTGCCTCTCCTTCAGAAAGGAGACTTTCACCCTGTCTGTTGGGAGATAAAGGGCAAGACCAAGGATTACTGCAGTCTCTTGGAACCTCCTCTTAAGGGCAGGATGAGTCACAGCCCTTGTGACACCCTACAGCCAAAGCAGCTGAAGAACTGGAGGTGCAGCCAGGAGGGATTACTCTTCCAGGGGGAATGTGCCGGGGAAAGGCAAATTGTTTATGTGTGTCTCACCTTAGGTGGGGGTTTCTCATGGCCACTGAAGACTACAGCCAGCAGCAGCTCATTTAGGAACCTTGCTCAGAGTCAAAGATGAGAAAAGGCACAGTGCCAATAGGCTCATAGCTTTCCACGGAGTAACTTTTGAGGTTTTTAGTGTACCTTTTTTGGAGGAGATTTCTTTTCCTCTCAGTCTTATCTACCAAAGTTCCACAATCTCTGAACATGGCAGAGCTGTTCATTTTGGACTCAGATTCTAGGACTCTGGTTTGCCTTCTGATTTATTTTGACACTAAGATCCCACAATAGCAATGTCATCCAAATTGTATTAAAGGTCCAACACTCTGCAATGCTAGCTGGTCTTCTTTCACCTTAATATCTAGTTTAAAATACATAGTATTTTGACTTTTACATCTGTATTACAGAAAGTATTTTGGGTGCCACTTTCTACAGAACAAACAGTAGGCAGCCAAAACTTTTTCTGCTGAGTCTCTTACAGCCAGGTGAACTCTCCTGTAGTACTTTGTGCTTGGCAATTTAACTAGGAAACAGATTTTGTAGAAGCATGTTGTGTATTTGCACACAGAAAGAACTGAAATCCCCTAAGCAGACAGTTATGATTATGATGAAGTATTAAACTAAGGAGGTTTAAAGATACTGTAAGCACTTCCTTAATTTCTGCTTTAATTTGGAAAGTCCACTCAGGAGATTGTAAACTGCATTAGCTGTCATTGGGTTATCTCACCCAAGGAAAGCAATTTGAGAATTCATAAGATGTGTATGGGAGCTACTGGTATGTGCAACATAATGGAACTTGCAGTTTTAATACAGATTCTATCAGCAGCTTCCACTGTTGCGTAAACTTAATTACCACTAAGTGTGTAACACTAGTGAATAACAAGTGTTAAATGACACATGATCAATAATTCATTTGTTAGCACAGTATTGCTTACTGTGAAATGACCTTGATGGAAACAGTCTTGCAAGTAACTTCCTTTCTTTTTGCCATATTATTTTTAACTGAAGAAAAATGCAAATTCTACTGATGTCATTTTTACTTACAAACAAGCTGAGTGATTGTTTTCTTAATGAAGGGTGAAAAATCAAACCAGCAGGCTGTGAGCTGCAGGCTGCTACTCTTCCATTCTATTGCATCCTATCATAGTTTCCAATAGCAGAGTTGGTACGGGAACTGTTTTCAGGAACCGTTTTCAGGAACCAGGAATACTACATGCCAATAGTAGGTGTCAACTTGGGTTTTTACAAATAGCTGCCCTGCAGTGCTGTATTTAAAACAACTGGGAAAGTGCTCACTGTTATCTTTCAGTACTAACAAACAAACCCATTTGTATTATATCCTGTTGTTTTCTCATGGTATTTCTGTCATTCAGTTCTATGCGTTGTTTCTGGATGGCTTCAAAACCATGAGGCTGCCAGAACTCTGAATTTGTGGCAGCTGCCTATGTTTCTGTATGAGATATTATATATATAGTTGCTGCATTCAAGACTCATTAGCCTGTACTAATCCATTCAAGTCTGCATTAAGCTCAACAGGAGCTAGGTAAAAAAAGAACATGCAAATTACAGGAGAGCTCTTTGCCTGGATTGTCTTCTGAATCATTTGCCACATTGGTGCTGTACCAATGTGTTCTTATTTTCCTATGTGGAAGAGGACAAAAATTTTTAAGACTTATATTTGGGTAAAATGACTTAATCACATAGAATTAAATTCTTGAGGAAAAGCAATGGCTTGTCAAGGACTTTTTGAATGTCTTGTGTTCTGTGTTCTGAAATGTGTATTCCTTGATCAGCAAAACATGCTGTCATTTGCTGCACGCCTAGTGTTTGAAAAGGAATGGATTAATTGCATTCAGTTGCTGGCAAACTTCTGCTGCCACTGAAGTGCTCCTTGCAGTGCAAAGCATCTTGTCTAACCTTACATTTTGAACATGGTTGCCTGTGGGTACCTGGTACAAAGGTACATATTCATCCACAGTCTCACTTTCTTCTGCTAAATTATTAGCATTGATTTGTCTATACAGCCCACTGCTTTCCTCCAGATAATAGGGAAACAATTCTGCATTTTGGGACAGGAACTTGCACAGTAAGGTGTAGCAGAGCCTTTTTTTTAATCATGTTCCTGCCGGTGTCGCTGTTGGTCAGGCTAAAGCCTAGCGGAGGGCGGCAGAGCAGCAATCCCTCCTGCGCAGAGCAGCCTTTGGGTTCGCTAGCCAGCTGTGTAAAACGCAAACCTCTTCTTCTGAGTGTCTTTTATACTTTGGCACAGCTGGGAACACTACTTTTGAGCTGTGAATTAAATACACTTTATTCTGCAAAAGCCTCAGTTGATTAGTGAAATTGTTACCTAAAACATTAACTCCAAAAGCCAAAGGGTAAAAATAATAGTGTTTCAGCCGTGTACTTATCTCCAGGGAACAACAAATTGTTTAATGCATACTTTACGCAGCATGTTACTGTTCTCCAGCATTACAGCCCTGTTTTCCTGCAACCTGATTTAAAGGTGGGGTTGAAGGGAACAAACAGTGCAAGCTACATCTCTGAACTTTAGAGGAAGACACATCCTTTCATTACACTGAAGTCTGGAAAGCTGGATGCTGGTGGTAATTGTGTTTCTTGCTTCCCTGGCACTATCCTTACAGGTGTCTCAAACCTCCTTAGTAGTGGTACTACTAAGTAGTAGAAGTTAGCATCACCCATTCACTTACTCAGGGGAGTGTTACAGAGGTAATGAAATGACAGCATGCGAGTTTAAAAATGAGAAACTGAGGAAGAACAGAAGATAAATACCATCTCTTTTGCTGCTAAAGCTTTTATTTAATCCCCAGACTATTACTAAGCACTTACTGTCTCCTGTCTTCTGTGGGTTTTAAGAGGCTACTCTATCATTGGCCTGTGATACAGGCTGACCTATAATGATATAAACCTCTCAGTCTAAAGTGGCAGCTGTATTTGAAAAGTTTCTGAAAAGTGCAGCACATACCTCTTCTTTGAATTGTATTTCTTTTAACTACATTTTTAAACCACAATTGCTGGTATTTTCATATTTTTAACACATTTATCACCAGAAGTATGCAAGATACTCATAACTGCAGAACATAAACCTCTTTCTAGCTCATATGTGACTGTATTCACTTATGTACATGCTCACGATTATGTGTTTGAGAAATGAGGCATATCTCTTTGTCCCATAAAAAGTAAAGACATTCCTTCTCCTCTCAATTTGCCCCAGATGGCACTTGATTTATGGTCTCGGTTTAAGGCTGAACAAATAGCAGGGTAAGCTTATGGTGGTGTTTCACAATACTGCACAAGTTGAACTATCCTCCTAAGCTTTGCTGTGCTATTAAATATTTGCAGGTTGAAAAAACACTGTGAGGATCTTAGCTGAAGGAGAGGATATGTAGCATCATGGAGTGACAGCAAAGGAGACAGAAATGTATGGCAATAAGAAAGAAGTCAGGGATGGAGCACAAAGTAGGAAATCTAAAAACGGTGAGTCAAGCATTGCTGTTCCAAAGCAGGCTTAACCAACACTGGGTGCTGTGACCCTGCCTTGCCCACTGATTTCCTTTCCATATTTTTTGGTTAGCTGTGCTACCAATTTTTTTTTTTTTTTTCCCTCCCAATTTAATGCTGAAGTGACTCCCTGCAAAGTCTAGGAACCACCATAGCTGTGCAAGGGAACCTGTAGGAAGGCAGCAACCGGTCACTGACTGCAGAAAAAGGAAGGGCCTTGAAAATGAGGATGAGGATTGCAAACCATCAGCAAAAGAGGTGTTGAAGCCACAGTGAAAGACCCAGGCAGTATTGCAGAGGGGAGAGAGGACCCAGTACCAGGCTTTTGGATATTACATTGGGAACGCTGGGGAAGATAAAGTCAGACTATTGCAAATGGGAGGTGGGGCAGAGTGCACAAAACAGGATAGATTGAAAGAGCATGTTTTTCAATATTGTATAAAGGAGCAAAAGGATAAGAGAATTACTGGCAGAGAACAGGGAAAGGAGCCAGATGTAGTCTAAGCTAACACATAAGGCTGCAATTAGGGCAGATAAAGCATAGACAGACATACTCACTATGGAAAAATATCATCCTAAACCTCAAAATCTGTTAAGAATTCATTGATTGGAACATGAATCTGGCAGTAGGACGGGCTGTCAAAACTATATATTGTGATTAAGGAAAAAAGCACCAACAACACAAAGGAAAGCATCTGAGAATAGAAGAAACATTCCTGTTTTGATGGTTGTGCTTCTCTTGTTTTCTTCACTGTAAAAAATTGTCCCAAGGTCATTCAGCATGTTTTGTGTGTAAAAAAAGAAAGAATCCACACCAATGTCTTTGTTCCGTGTTTTTTAAAATCAGCTCTGATGTATTAATCCATGCATTTCAAATTTCTATATTTGTTATATCTATTATGTCAGCCAGTATTTGTCTAAGTACTCTAGCTTGCATGCTGATCATATAATTTGCTCCTCTGGCTGTTCACTGCCTTCTTCTTTCTGACCA